ATATCCACTCACTGGTGAATAATAGCCTGATGGGTACTCATGGTCCTCAGAGGCTGCATGGTGCTTGCAGGCACCCCTGCTTAAGAGGAATCCTCAAATCTTTTGTTGAATTACCGTTTTTTCTTTTGCGGGTGGTGAAACAAGGAAGTTGGTGATGAGAGACTACCCTGATGTGATATCCGTTAGCACAATTGCTGCGCCTGCCAACCACACTTGCCATTCACTCATTCAATCATTTGCTTCCTCTTATATTTTCTAAAACTGTCACTCGTATAGTGGACATTTTCTGTATGCTCATAAGTGTGATGATTTTTAGGCTCTGAGATAGTCAGTCAGTACAGGCTAGGTGGATGGCAAAGAAGGAGTCAAGTAAACAGTGGAAATGTGTCTCGGGCCACTCCCTTTTCCACTTCCTCGTGACTCTGACCCAGTTTTACTCTCTTTTCCCCCAACTTCACTCTCATTTAATGTCTGAATGCTTTTCATTTAGTATCCTTATGAATGCTTTGCTTTTTTTCGTCTAGACACAGTTCACAGACTTCTTTTGGAAGGCTCATTGCATTTTTCTGTCTTACTGTGTGTGTTGCCTGGGGATGGGAGCGTGTGTTGGTTCCCAAGAGCAATAAACAAAAGTTTTGTAATGGGATTCCCGGTGGGTATTGAGTGTTGTCCCAAAGCAGCACACTGGGAGAACACAAAGGCACATAGGGGTGTTGAAAGTGAAAATACAAAGTCTGTACACGATCTGTCCGGTGTAAAGTCCACCGCTGATGTCTGCTAGGACAGATTCCATGTTGACCCTTATGGTGATTCGCTGTGTCGGAAATGTTATATAACCTTGCAGCAATAAGACCAGAAAAATGTCATCATCATTGGCGCTAAATTTGATGTAGAAGTTCAAAACATCTCTCAACTTAGTTGCAGGTGTATTATCAGTATATCTGTTTCCAAAGTTTGAAGATGGAAAACTAAAAAGTTCTCCAGCGATTGGAGCGGTACAGATCAGGAGATCAACAAGATCAAAGATGAACATGAAATGGTGTATGACATTTTGCCAACGTAATACCTGGGAAATGCACGTCCTTTTTGTTTAAGGCTTGAGATGGAAGACCAAGGTTCTCTCCAAACTTTTGTGAGGTACCGAATGATAAAACATCAAACTGATAGTGTATGTTTCCTGGACAAGATGTACTGCGAAAGATTATCTTGCTTGCTTGGAAAATTAGCTTGTAAAAACAGTGCTCCCTTCTCCCAGTTGATGCAAGATGGAGGGATCATGTGGAATTCATTAGTATATAGAAGGAAGCTAACTGCGAGGCGTTGTTTTGGAGCACTCACAATGTTGTGCTGAAGATGCGGCATGAATCCTAAGGATGACCACTGAAGCAACCCTTTCACTGGTGAAAAGTAAAATCAGTGGAACCTTTGCAGCTAAAAGGTTTTACTCAAAAGAATTGGCTATCTTCCCAGTGGCTGGAGCTTTTAGTGTCATAATACAAGACTCTTGCAGCTTTAATGGATTAAAAAGGTGACTACTAAAAATGGCGGTGGAGGTGAATGCATGCTCCAAGTTGAGCATCATTTCGAGGCACATAAGAAGCATAACCATAGGAGTCGGCATGCTATTTACGAACCAAAAAGAGTGTTCAAAGCAACAGATGGCACCATAACCTCCAATGTTAAGGACGTTTTCGTGAATCAAAATCAGAAAAAGGCACATTGGCAACGAAAGCAACCCGAGGACAAAGGAATATTCAATGCAAAAGCGCGCAACATATTTACGTTGCTCCATGGTCAATAGCTCTTTGCATGTGGATGAAATGCCAAACAGATTGAAACTACAATATAGTTCGTAAAAATTCCGGTGTCTTTGTGGGCATTAACTATTGACTGCCTATGCTTTTATAAGGCAGCGATTCTCAAAAGTCGTAGTACGTGGGCTGTAGGGCGTGACTCACTCGGAATTGAAGCTTTGCACTGACATTTTAAAATCTGAACGATTCCGGGAGAACAGGAATTTTGGTCCCAGTTCTACCTAATTATCAATCATCTCTTGTTGGGAGATTCGCAGAATCATATGTTCAAACTATGTAGAATTTTACAGTGTCTTAACATTGTTTCAAGTCCAGTAAAGTACGGGTCAGTTGTACAGTAATTAACTTTTACGCTTTTTAGGAGCCATAGCCACTGTGTGATTTTTAACTGAACGCATTTTCTATGCTAATGCATATTAGTGTTGCTTATGATGGTGGTACTTGGAGAAAAGAAGTATTTTTTTCAAGTGGTACCTGGTGTAAAAAGTTTGAGAACTCCTGTTTTACGGTGTTTTAACAGATGGCACGTTTGTATAAAGCTAAATGGAACCAGAAGTGACAGTAAATAGAATATTTAAAGGCAACAGCGGTAAGGGCAGAAGTGAAGCGGGGAGCTCCAATTTGAGGTTGCAAGACCCCTTTGAACTCGCTATGTCACTTCCCCTCAGCCTGGGGCCGCGCAGGAAGTCGGAGCACATGTGTTAAGCTAACGGACAGTTTGACAACACTGCCAGCCTTTGAGAGCCTCCGCCCCCTGCTAGTGGCACGAACAAAACCCACCTTTGATGTGCACAGCATGCGTGGGCTCGCACACAGACATAGACGCCCTCACTCCCTAATCGACCCCTTTTATAGCCCCCTGCTCGTCTACACACATCCCTGCATACTGGCCCTAAGGACATTTAACTGTTATATTTGAGGAATGGGATAAAGTACTACGACCTAAAAATGACAAGTAATCACTCGTAGCGATTCAAAGGTGGTGACAGCTGGAAGCTCGAAATTTGAACACCCTTTAGGATTAATTTAGCAAGGATTACAGGAATAATGCTTGACTGTTTTGCGTTTTATTTGGATTTCTGTGCATACAGTGAACCCATGTAGGGGTTAGGAAGTCGGATCCCAACAACCCCTCCATCCCCAAGATACTCCAAGACACAAATAACTTCTTCGCTGCGATGGCCGTTAATATTTGTCAGGTGTATTCGTCAAGTATGTTTTCAACAGTTAGGCATGGAAGAGGGCCTCGCACAGCTTGTCTGTAAAAACTAGGGTGTGAATGTCGGCTTGTCACATCGAGCGTATTGCCAACGCATTTAAAGTCAAGACAGGTTTTGACCCCTCACACTCAAGAGCATGTGTTATTACAAACACCCCCCGCCCCCCCCCACACACACACACATTTACACGCAAAAAAGTTGTTGTTTTTGCAGTCTGTAATGGATAAATTGCATCTCAGTTTCAATTGGGAATGTTGATTCGATGTAAGAGTATAAGGAGTTACAAGCTTGGTCACTGAAAGAATCAAACGTGTAATAAAAGTACCACCGTGTGTTAAAAGGTGACAAATGAACGAATTTGCACATCAGGCAACAGCATCCTTTTATGTGGAGCGTATCCCTTTGAAATCAACCAATCACACGCCATGTTTATCCCAGGCAGCTTTATGTAACATGACATGAGCGCCTGCTGCTTGTGCAGGGACGACGACCTCTAGTGGCGCGTTGCCTCAACTACACGGACCCTCAGGAGGGATGCCATTGTTGTTGTTTTGGATTTTGAGGAAGCATTCCCATCCTACGCTGAATTCTTGGAAAAGAGGCATTCAGAAATGATTTGGAAAAGACAATACTTTCCTCACGAAGACAAAATATTTGAGTTTTCTTTTAAAGCAGTACTGTATACTGTATTAAACAGAGTTGGGTGGGAGTTGAAGATGGGCGGGCGACAGAGTGTGTGTATGTGTGCAAGCACAGCTATAAAACAGACGTTGAATTCTGACCGGCTTTGCTTTGATGCAGACAGCTGTGCAGGCAGGACAAAGCAGAAACGCTCTGAGATTTTTTAAAAAAAACGACTGCTGGTTTTCAATTGTGTATCAGCTGTGCAGGCAGGACAAAGCAGAAACGCTCTGATTGAGATTTTTTAAAAAAAACAAGACTGCTGGTTTTCAATTGTGTATTTTTTTTTCTTGACAAAATAAACCCAAATAGAAGCCATGGCAACAATGTTCAGATATCCCGTCTTTCCTCATCTGCAGGGTGAGTTAAGTAATTGTTGACTTTTTCTTGCACTGTTGTGAATGATTTTCATGCTCCGAACTGTTTTTGTTTTTAATTGTTTTAATCACTTTGTTCGGTGGTTTGGGGTCTTGTTCATGTTTTCATTACAAGGTGCTGTTGCGAAAAGGTTTATGTTTTGACTTGTGCTATTGTTTATTCAAAACTTTACATTTGATTCATAGATGAACTTGAGTCAGGTGCACGTTGCTCAACAAACGTATTAGACGGCCAGCCAAATGTAACATTTATACACTTAACACTTTTGCAAGTATGATAGAAAGATTAACAAATTTAAATGAACTGTGATTTAATGTTATGCCGAGTGAAATTCCTCATTCCTGTTCAAAATGGTAAAATATCAGCCCATGTTTGAAATTGGAAGTCTGCATCAAACCACTTCATGATGCTGGGTGGACTCTTCTTGTTTATATAATAGGTGCTTACATTTGTTATCTTTGCGTAGTGCATTGTCCACTCTATGTAGTGTGCTTCGGGGAACTCCTGCTTTTCCAGCTTCATAAATATCAACTATTACCCAAATGATTTGAAAACATTGTGGCCAGTAATGCAAATGTACAAAAAAGGAGACAATAAGTGAGTGCGTGTGTCTATCTCGTTTGTCAATTTGCATGTGGCTCGTACTTCGACATGTTCTCTTCCCTCACATTATGTAAGGGGTCCATCGTCATTATTCATCATAATCCAGTGCATGGCTTCATGAAAACAGCCCAAGGAATAAATGTTCACTGGACACAATATTATGTAAACCTAATTATAGTGTTATCCAAAACTGCTGTGATATTATTAGATTGTGCAAGCACAGTGAAGAGTCCATTTCCATTCCCACCCATATTTAATTGTTCCATCTCGTACTGGTGGCCTGTGGTCTTGTGTCTGCGTTCAGATTCGCGTGACCCTGGTCTGTCGCTGTCTCCAGGGAGGAGTGTCATGGCCGAGCCCGACTTTCTGGAGGGTGACTGCGATCAGCTCATCAAACCAAAGAAGTTGATCAACCCGGTCAAGAACTCCCGCAACCACCAGGACCTGCACAGGGAGCTGCTTATGAACCAGAAGAGGTTGGTCAACGCGTCATGTGTCGAAGCATTTTCACTCACTGCAGCTTCACTGATTGGTGCTTTATTGACTGAGTCTTTGATTGTTTATCATCACCAAACTATAGGTGGACTTTTAACACAATATCAGAAGTTTGGGTGCATTCAAGCATGATTGAGACAAGACTATTTGTGTTGGTGTTAATTGATGAATATTTTTTTATGAATTGGTTAATAATTAATGATTGATTGAAAATAATTGTGTGTGTGTGTGTGTGTGTGTGTGTGTGTGTGTGTATTGTGTGCATGTGTGTAATTTTTTTTTTTGCTCATCAAAAATTTTGATTATCAGAAGTTGATTTATTTCAGCAATACTATTCCATATGGGAAACCTGTGTAATGCATATATTCATTCCACACAGACAGCTACATTTCATAACTGGAGACCATTGATGTCATTTTCAGTCAACATCAAGTATCAAAATCCCCCTGAGATAGAAAAAAAAAAACGAGAGTGGATTTTGCTACTTAATTTATATTCAAAACATGCTAAATTAAATCAAAATGCAGTAGTTAGACTAGCAGGTGCGCACAGAACTTATTATTGTGAAGAACAATATTGACTTGACTTTCCTTTTAATACTCTTTGGTATGCAATTTGGTTCACTGGTAGGCACAACAACCCGAAGGCAAAACTTTCCCCACATAAACCTACTTTCAGAATACTAAAGTGATGTATTCATCATCTCAAGTTCATTAATAAAAAATGTGTATTGATTTAAAACTCATGAATAGACTCCATTCAAAGAATATAGCTCTCATAGAGTCAAATAAAAAAATCTCAATTCTAAGCATTGCAGTGAAGAGGAGGAGCTGATGGACATTTTATTTTAATTCTCAGCCCAATCACATCCCAGCTGTGGAACTTGAACGCTTTTAAAAAAAGCCTGTGTCACACGTTCCCTTTGTCTGACCTCCACTGATGGAGAGTGAGGTAATGTAAGCGTCATGAGATGTCCTTGGTCTGATGGTCCTCCTGATGCAGGCTGTGGGTGGAAGGGGGGCGGGGGG